CTTGTGTCCCGGGTCGGGCCGCCCAGTGCAGGCCAGTTGTGCGGCTCCCGTTGCAAGTGGAACAAGTGAGAACGCAGACACAGCGTAGAGCCTAGATTTTGTCTAAACTTCGCGTATTTGCAGAATTCAAACTTTTAATTAAATTCAGTTTTAAACTTTCATTCGCAGTATGTTTTTTTGGGAAAAAGAAGACACGTCTTTTGAATAAGATTTTCATACAGTGTTCAAATCAAAACATTTCCTGGCTTATTATGCAACTTTTTACAAGATCTATGCCTTGTTATAGGTCCATTGAATAAATGTTAGTTTTTTTTTCTCAAATCGATGCGAACTCAGGCTTGTTTAAAAAGTAACATTAAACATATAGTTCAAGTGAAACAATTCCTGCTTGAATTATGCAGTTATTTTGCAAGATCGATGCCAGTAATTGATATTTGCGAATATTCTTAAGGGATCACCCTTAAAGCACAATTTTTCGCCCCCCCCCCCCTCTCGCGGATTGATTTTATACAATTATGGAGACCGGGGTCCATGTGATGTTCCTTAAATTTTTTTATGTAGTTTTATTGCAATATTAATGCCTAGCTAATGATATTTAATATATAAGATAAGACCATTGAAAGAATAATGTTGGGCTCACTCCTGCATAAACCTACCCCCGTCTCCTTTTCTTACCATTTTGACTAAGAGAGTATCTGCAGACTAAATGTATTGTAATTTAATATCTTATTTTTAAACTTTCCATTCACTGTTTTTGTGCGAAGTTAGATTAGTTTTAAAAGTGGGTTTCAGACTGTTATATAAATAAAATGTTTAAAACTTAATTATACAGTTATATTGCAAAATCAAAAGCTAACTATTAATATTTTTTATATTGTATAAATAAAAGATTATTTTTGGGCCCAGACTTAACAGCTGGGAAAAAAACACAAAACAGAAGAATTTGATAAAATAATTAATAATCTTATTTTTATCTGTTTCAAAATTCAATTTGTCTCCATGTTTATATGTGTATCCATTCTTGGATGGTAGAAATCAAAATCGAAAGTCGTCTTCATTGTATTGGTATATTCAACGATGACTGTATTTTAGGAAATCATTAAAAAATATGAATTTACAAAAATAAATTCGTAAGCTAAAATGTGTATAAAAACTGAACTATTCCCCTGCATCAATTAAGGCTTATGCATGAGTGTTGCAGAATATTGAACTGCTTTGCAAATTTGCAAAGATTGGATAGAGAAGGGGTGGAGGATGAAGCATATTTGCAAAAGTAAATCAATTAACTTATACGTTAGACAAAATATAATATAGTTTTATCTTTAGCTCTGAATTATTAATCTAAAGTTTAAAAAACCAATTTTTTTCTGGAAACCTATAAACATCATTTTAAAATCCCGATTTCACTTTTTTACTCATGGAAGTGAAATGAAATATAAAGGAAATTAACAAAGAAAATATATTTCGCCCTGTTCTGAAAGTGTTAGGATCTTCGTTGTTTAACCTGACGCATTTATGAATTTCACTCTATTTTTATTTTCACAAATATGTTAATTTTTTCAAATAATTTTGACAATTATTTAATTCTTTAAAGGCAGCTAATTGAATTGAAACTTCTTATCTTTAAAACTTAAAATTTGAGGTCAGTATCCAAGTATCACGGGGTGGGCCCACATTTTTCAATCATTTTTAAATCAAGATTTAGAATTGAATCAAGAGTTTGTGGAGTATAAATTTAAGATGTTATTGCAAAAATATTCTGTTAAATACTATTGAAATCAATTCCAGTTGATACAAATACGGATACCTATACAGAGGATACAGATACAGCTATTAGGGATATATATACAGAGGATACAGATACAGCTATTAGGGATACACATACAGGGGATACAGATACAGCTATAAGGAATATATATACAGAGGATACAGATACAGCTAGAGTACACAGATAAATAATTTTGAACTAAGGAGACACGGATATAAGGAATACAGATACATAGGATACAGATACAGGTGCAAGAAATACAGATACATGGGAGACAGATACGTTAAGGGAACTAGATCCAGTGGATACATAAAAAGGGAAACATATACAGATACTTTATAGAAACCCCACAATAGAAACTAATCAATGTTGAAAGAGAAGATTCGAGATGTCTCAACACATTCTCTACCTAATGAAGATTTTAAGGGTATCGTTGTGAATTGGATATGATACTTGAAAGTCATTAGAAATTACGTATACAGTCCCTTTAATACACAGAAAATAAAACACATGGATTGTTAGTTCAGAGGTTTCGTGATTTTCTCACCCAAGGGAAGTAGTTTAATATTCAAGAATAAAGAGACAAAGATACTGCTCACATTGGGGGATTAAAACAGGGTTTAATCATGATATTTTTGTGAATTTGATTGGATATTTGCAAAAGCGCGATAAGAGGCTGCAGATATAAACCTTTGTCTGTTGATTTATAATTAATTTAGAAAGGAATTGAGTCTTTGTCACAAACTATGATTTTCTAATCTAATCTTTGTAATCCAATTCCGTAGACCTTAGTTATTTCAAACTATGAATTCTGTTAGATGAAAAAATCTAATTTTGAAATATCAAAGGTTTACACCAGCAGGTGGAAAAAATATAGGTATTATATAGCAAATCAGAATGTGTTACAAAGACGCAATTCCTTTGTTTCTTTTCTGTTTGAATAATTGTAAACCTTTAAAACTTTTTAATAAAAGTTGGATGTATGTTATTACATTTTCTTACAAATTCATTTAAAATATATATATGTTTCACACATTAAAATCAATATTAAAAAAGATATCTACATTCTATATTTTTAGCAATTTTTTGGGTCATCTTTAAAGTGTTCCAACGCCTTGGCCTTTTTTGTAGTCCTAGACATGCACATTTTCTAACTCTAAAGCATTTGTTTTGATCTTTGGCGAAATTCTCATAGTTTTTACTCAAGAACTTGCAACCTTTGAAGCACTTTTACACGAAACCTTTGATATCCATTTTTAACTTGAATTCTTACGCTATTATACTAAAGAATTTGTAACAATATTAAATTATGTTTGAATTTACTTTTTACCCCGTGCACTCCATGGTGTGTAAAGATTGTTTAGTTTTACCCAATTCTTTTATAAACTATTTTACTATTGAAACCCGACGTTTTATCGTAAAATTTATAGCTGTGTATAGTTTAAACCGATAGATTATATATTCATTCGGAAAATATCGAAATTCTAAAGGGACTGTAAGCGTAATTTTCAGTAACCCTCCGAGCAAAGATAGCATTAACCCGATTAACAACAGTACACTTTTCTTGAAATTATGTAGAAAGTTCCATCTTTTCTTTTATTTTAAACAGAATTCAGAACTGTTCTCAAAAATAATTTTGAGAAACAGTGTTTTCAAACATGAAAGTTGTGCAATGCTATTGAGGGGCTGATGGGTGTTGGATTTGATTATTGGATCAACTTTTTGTTCAGATAATGGGTTAATTCATTTCCATAGTTTGCTCTGCATATCAGCTATACGATTCCTGTCCATGCAAAATTACTCCCATTACCAACCATCAAGTTTGCATGCAAAATATTACACAAATTTTGCACACGTTTGAAACGATGCAAATATTATTCATTTGAATTGAAACTGTGAGTCTGTGAGTCGGTATTTTTGTGAGAAAACTTAGATGGGCGCTAGCAATCAAAGTTTGAATTATTTTCTTTTAACATCCGCGAACCACTATTCAAAATTGAAAAAATCTTCATGCATTTTGATAAAAATTATCAAATATATAATTTGTTGTAGTTGTATATACCATAGCTCATTGATAGACAATTCTTTTCAGCAAGGCTTTTAAAAGAATAAATAAAAGAATGACTTTTAAAATAGTTTGATATTTAGATTAATTTTTCTTCGCAAATTTACACAAATTTTGAATAACTAGGCTTTAAGGGCGCTTCGCTCTTATCTTCTTTTTCAAATGTGACAATGTTCTCTATGTGTATATTGTAAAACAAAGCAAAAAGATTCGTGGATTTCATCAAAATATTTCGTGCATTTTCAAAACTTTGAAAAATTCGATCATCCATAAACCTTCCCTGGGCCACGTGAGGTCCCACACAAAATTTGGGCCCGATCGGTTCAGCCGTTTTGACGTTTATTGGATACAAACGGACATCCTGACAGACAAGGCAAAGTATATTTAAAGATATTTAGGTTTTTAAACGTAAATGCTTTGCTTTATTTTAGATGTAAGTAGTTCTATGACTCATTATAAATTCAAAGCTAAAAATGAATTTAATTGGCAATATTTCCCCCAATTAATTTAATTCAGCAGATTAAAAAAGGTTTTTTGCACATAGTTTTAATTGCATATTCGAAAAGAAAACGTTCACGGCATTTGCATTAACGCTTTTCGGGTCACTGCCTCAATGCATACTTTTAAACACCTGCCAAACTAAATCTCTATTTAAACCATTAAATCAGTTTTTGAAAAGATAGGACCAAAAAAAGCAAATGCATTAATTTCCATGAAAAATGGTTTGTACTTCCACCAATTTAGTTATTGCCACAAACTCTGATATTTTAATCTCCGGATCTCTGCAACCTGATGTCGAAGACTAAAATTTGAAATATCGAAGGTTTATACCATCAGGTTGAATAGATATAAGGATTAGAAAATCATTTCCTTTGTTTTACAATTTATTTTGAAAAAAAAAAATTTCAGTTGTCGGTGACCCTTCAATAAAATAAAGAGTGTCAACTCATAATCTAAAAAAAATCATCTCATAACTTTAGGCAAAATGTCTTAAAAAACCATCTCATAATTTCAGTTAAAATGTCTAAAAATCATCTCAAAATTTCAGTCAAAATGTCTAAAAAATGTTCTCATATTTTCAGGCAAAATGTCTAAAAAACCATCTAATAATTTCAGGCAAAATGTCTAAATAAATCATCTCATAATTTCAGGCAAATGTCTAAAAAATCATCTCATAGTTTCAAGTCAAAATGTCTAAAAAATCATCTCATATTTCAGGCAAAATGTCGAAAAAAGTGTTCAAGGATAAAGCGTTGCAGGATCAAATGAAGGTAAATATAGAAAATTAGAAAAATTAGAAAAAAGTATTTTTTTAAACAAAAACGATTTTGTACGGTTAAATGTTTTACTTATTTTCAAAAACATGATTTACACTCTATGCTCTAATACTCGGCCAGGGTTTTACATTTTACGTATATTTTAGTATTGTATTCATAAATATGTCACTAATGTATGCCAAGCCCATTAGCGCCTGATCCAATCAGGGTTCAGTCATGTGTTAGTTGTTTATTCTGAACCAATATAAATAGTATGGCGGTAACATCTATCTATCTCATTATCCAATTAGAGTTATGAATCCTTCAATCGGCGCTATCAGTAAATGGAAATATTTACTTCTATTGAAACTATGGTGATGTATAGTATCTATTATGTAGATGATTTGCCCGCCGTTATCCGTGAAATTTAAAAAAAACACTTTGGAAACCAATTATTTGGAAATTTCGAATTTGCCACCTCCGGGGTGCCCACTGCCCACTAAGAATATACTCTAGATCTATCTAAACTATATTTATACTCCAAGAATATACTCTAGATTTGTCTAAACTATATATATACTCTAAGGATATACTCTAGATCTATCTTAACTATATATATATATATACTCCAAGAATATACTCTAGATCTATCTAAACTATATTTATACTCTAAGGATATACTCTAGATCTATCTTAACTATATATATATATATATACTCCAAGAATATATTTTAGATTTATCTAAACTATATATATACTCCAAGAATATACTAATATACTCTAGATCTATCTAAACTATATTTATACTCTAAGGATATACTCTAGATCTATCTTAACTATATATATATATATATACTCCAAGAATATACTTTAGATTTATCTAAACTATATATATACTCCAAGAATATACTCTAGATTTATCTAAACTATATATATACTCCAAGAATATACTCTAGATTTATCTAAACTATGTATATACTCCAAGAGTAGAAGTGGAGGCTAACAAAGAGTTCTTTATCCTCCCTCTTTGTTCAGTTAGCAACAGATAAACTAGTTTCATTCAAACCAATCCCAAGAGTTTATACTTTCCATTATAATACAAAGCATGAAATAAAATTACTAGCTGAAGTGCTCGACGTTGCCCGGGGATTTTTTTAGTAATCAATTTTTGAAGAAAAAAATCGCGTTTAAAAATGTCAGTCATTTTGGTCGAGCCGTTTGGCCAGCTCATGGCTAACATGTATATACAAATACACAAGAATATATATGAGCGAAGAACTTTATTATAAAGAATATATATAAGTATAAAATATATCATAAAAAAATGTTTTGAAAGTTTACAATAAGCATATTTCAACTAGACATTAGCAAATGAACTATTTATAAGTTGTTTGAAAAATAGTTTTCATTACTAGACTCAAGTTAGATTAAATAGAGTGAAGTTGTTGTTTGAAATCACTAACTTAATATTTTGTAACCTAAATCTAACTTATTGTTGTTGTTTCTAAAATAAAGAGCTGCATTCACTGTATTTCTTTTTACTAACCAGTTCAGTTTAAACTTTCATGGGATAGTTTTTCCTTTAAATAATTAATGAAATAATGATTAAATTCAATGTTTATGTACAGGATGATGCAACAATGATTATATTTCATGTTTATATAAAAGATGATGCAACAATGATAATATTTCATGTTTATGTACAGGATGATGTAACAATGATTATATTTAATGTTTATGTACAGGATGATGAAACAATGAATACATTTAATGTTTATGTACAGGATGATGCAACAATGATTATATTTCATGTTTATATAAAAGATGATGCAACAATGATTATATTTCATGTTTATGTACAGGATGATGCAACACTTATTATATTTAAAGTTTTTGTACAGGATGATAAAACAATGTTTATATTCAATGTTTATGTATAGGATGATGCCATAATGTTATAGTTAATGTTTATGTACAGAATGATGCAACACTGATTATAGTTAATGTTTATTTACAGGATGATGCAAAAATGAAGATGCAACATTGATTATATTAAATTTGTATAAACAGGATGATGAAACAAAGCCACCTAAACCATCAACTACTCCTCCTACCCAGAGGTTTAGAAACTCTCCACCCCTCTCCATGTCTCGGAATTCTCCTCCCCAGTCTCCTCCCAGGTTCAGGTTGGGTCCGGATACAGACCTACTCAAGGTTGAGGACTCAGGACTGGTGGAGGTTAGGAGGGGGTCCAGGGGAGCCCTCATCTCTCCTACCTCGGTATGAATTTTTATATTTTTTAAACATACTATTCACCTTTGTTTATGTTTTAGTCTCAAATTAGATAGAAAAACATGGAGAGCTCAATCGTTTTTACTCAGAAAAAATGGTTTGAAGGCAATCTTTGTGAAACAGTTTTTAAAAAGGGAGTATATATCTGTGGAAGTTAATAATTTTTAAAAGGAGTGTCAGGGGGGGGGCTGACCATAATGACAATGAAGATGAATATGGTACTTTTCCAATATTTTTTTACTACTTCTTTACTAATTCTCTAATTTTTATACGTCAGTCGTAATTAACGATTATCCCAAACTTCTGAGATTAGTTATAAATTCTTTTTGTTTGTTGTAAAACCGCTATTTATATGTGTATTTCCTAATTTCAGAATTTGAGCGCTGGATTACTGAATACTAGAATCTCAACTAATAGAAGGAAACCTTTATTTCCTATCTTTAATTTATTTGATGCATTCCGTGTTTTGTGTCCTTAAGTACGTTTTTAAGTTTTGTCGAGGGTACGTATAACGTTATTAAATATTCTTGGACAAAAAAACAATCTTGCACTATTGAAATTTCAATTTTCAGCAAAAATTCTATTTTTTTGGTGAACTTTAATGCGAACTTTAATTTATCACAATAAATATATTTACAATTTGCTTGAGTTTTACCTAAAATTTCGATCTAAAAAATAAACTCTTGGTTTGAAATAAATTGTTAAAAGGTTCCCTACAGCAGGAAGAAGTCAGCCAGGTAAATCCAATTTTCCAGAAAGGGACTGTTTGCGTGATTTCAAGTGACCCTCCATATGAAAAAGAGGGTGTTGCCTGATTTACAACGGTATCTTTTAATCTTTCGACTGCACATCGAGGATAGAGCACTCCGGGTGTTTATATATAAAACAGTGTTCAAATTGCGGGAAAGCTGTAGTGTACGCTAGCGAACAATGTGAACGATCCACACAACTGACGCTACATAAATTTCTCGAAAATCCCAAATATTGTTTTCCAAAACGGTGAAAACAAATTGAATGTAACTATTTTAGTTTCTGCAACTTCTAGAACGTAAACATTATTTTGTTTAAATATAAAAGGGCCGCAGACCAAGGGTTTATCAGTTAGATAAATCAGTCCAAGGTTGAAAGGGTACTGCTGTTGATCGAACACCTATCTACTCTGTAAATGAAGGGTCACTTAAAATTACGCCTGTGTCCGTGTAAATCGAAAGTTGATGTAACATGATCGGACAAATCGCTGATTTAGTAATTCTTTAAAGAAAGTTCAAATTATGTCAAATATCTATTTTTTTTATATGTAGAGAAGAGACGTAAATGTTTTGAAAAATAAAGATAATAAATCAATCAATCAATCATTAACATATTTTTAGATATGTTTCGGTGCGAGGCAAGACGACCTCAAGAGGATGGTTGGAGGAGGGAAGGGAGGGCATCACCCCCTCAGGTTGGACATTTATGAAAACTGTTTGCACAAATATCAATTATTTGGAGTTGAAAACTTTATTTGAAAGAGAAGTGTGAGAAAAATCCTTCTTTTTATTCAAGGTTTTATAAATGGACTTTTCAAAGTTTCTGCAATTTAGAAAAATGTTTTATTCATAATTCTATAGAATACTTTCTTTATTTCAGCAGTTTGGACCAGATCGTTCAGCAGAGCTGCTTCGATTCAGTTTATCCGAGGAGCGTCGAGGAAGCTTTCTTGCAAATTCGTCGCAGCTTCCTTTTCACAGTTCCTTCCCATACCATCTTCCCATTCCACAGTTTTTCCTTAATAACCCTGGGTAATTATATTACAACTAGGCTTTCAGGGCGCCAAGCGCCCATCTTATATTTCAACTTTTAATTGTGGCTCTATATCTGTGAACATGTTCTCTTTGTACAATAAAAGACAAAAACAAACAAATTTCAAGAATGCATTAATTTTTGTTCGTGGATTTTTAAAATTTTACAGAAATCAAAATTTGCTGGAGACAATTTTTTGTAATTCTGAGCATCCATAACCCTTCCCTGCAGGGCCATATTTCAGTTGCTTCAGCTCACATTTTTTTGGTCCGATCGGGTATGCCATTTTGACGTTTATTGGATGCAAACAGACACCCAAGC